CTTTAAATAATAATGTTTTTAATTTATATCTTTATTTTATTCTACACTTATTACAAATTTTATTTTACATTTATTACAAATTTTATTACAAATTTTATCTTATACTTATTACAAATTTTATTCTATACTTATTACAAATTGTAATTTTTAATACTTTGATCCTAATAATTAGTATTAAAAATATATTTGGTTAAACTTAATAAAAAAAAGTTTACTAATGACCAGCCTGGTTGATTCATTTAAACATTAACCCATTATACAGTTATATAAATTATAAATTTTATAATCTAATTATATCATACTAGAGGCCATTAGAAACTTGACATCTATCATGCAGATTAACTAATAAAATCAATATATTTTATTGGATATTATGATCTGGACTTACAACAGTTCCTGTTTGCTATCCTTTATTCAAGTGAAAAGGTGAGTCTTTTTATATCTTTTACATATTTATTAAATACATAATGACTATATTCACTATGTTTTTCTAGTAATAACATCTTTTTAAAGTAATGGTTTTTTGTCACAAGAGCACACAAAAATGAATTTAGAATCACAAGTACGAATTTGAGAAGATTATGGTATAAAAATTTAGAAACTACATCTTCAGCTCTATAATATATCAAAGTAATTTGGTAATTGACGAGGTAATTCAAAAGTTAAATGAGAGATATGTTTAGACATTTCAATTTAACCAATATAATCTACGATATATTAAACTTGGTAAATTTAAGTCAAAAGTTTACAACGCTAATCTATTTTATTTATAACTTATTTATTTTTCTAAAGACAGACACATATTGCCAGTAAATAGATTAGTGACATAAAGCATTAAAGCATGAACATATAAGCTTTATGAGAAGTTAATATAGTAATATATCTAAAATTATTAAAAAATAGTGTTATGTTCAAGATTATTAATTTAGAATTATTGCTAAATTCATTTAGTATTAATTAACTATTACGTATTATGTACTATGTATTAAAAAATTATTTATATGGTTTTTTATTGTCTTAAAATAAATAGTTTATATTTTTTATTTGTTTTTCGAAATAGTACTTTTTTTAAATAAGATCTTGGATTTGTTTTATTAGGATGATAGTATTAGACTTTAAGTTGTTAGATTTCATAGTAATACATTTATTAATGCCAGTTGATTTTATATAGTTAAATAATTATATCAGATACAGTTTCATATAAATTTGTAATTTTGATTAACCATTTTGATTAACCAATAATATTTTTGTAATATCACCAATTACAATAAAAGCTCGCTATGTTGTAAAGTAGTATATACGTAGTATATACCACAAATTGTATTTGAGTATATATAGTACAACTAATATACTATATACATAATATGTATATATTTTGCATATCAAATAGAACTTAAAATCTATTTAGGTTAGAATTAGTGATGCTTACAATTAATATTGTTAGACAAAGATAACAAAACTAACAAAAGTATCAAAACTGACAAAGGGTAATAAAATAACAAAATATAAAAATAATAAAAAAATGAAAAATTATTAATTTATACTAGGGTATATACACAGGTATTAATTAATTGATTTGCAAATTTGTATAACATACAAATCAAACTAATTTGTATAAAATGAAAAGTTAAACATTGCCTAAGATTATAGTAAAGGTGAATTTGAAAAAATAAAAAATAGCTTATACCAAAATTTTATAAAGAATTTTTTTGTTAGAAGCCAAATAGTAATTTTATAATCAAAATTTTGAGATATCAGCAGGTTTTTCTATATACCTGTATATAGACACCTATATACAATTATAAATTTTCTAAAAAAAAATAAATAAAATTGATATTGTTTTATATATAATGTAATATTCAGTAAAATTGTGACAGGACTATACTATTTGCTTTTTTAAGGCACAAATTGTCCAAATTTATATTATGAGCCCAAATTATATACTATGTTAATTGATAATTTTTCATGTTTTTGCTTAAATAAAGCTACAATATAACCTCTAATTGAAATATGTGACAGATTATACTAATTAATCATCATCACCATTAGGGTCAGATTGAAAAAAGTTAGAAAAGAGATTTAGCCAAACTTAAACCAGAATTATAAGTAGAATTTTTTTTTTTAGAGCACCAAGAGCAGGTTTATAGGCAAAATTTTAAGATAGAAAATTTTTTTTTAGTTTTGTTAATCAACCTATCATATAACATTATATATATTATATTATTCGAGGTTTTGTGCTACCACTATTTACTACAGTACCTCATGGGCATGTTAATACTTCTAACTAGGGGTTGGCATAAATTTGAAAATAATCTATATACTGCATAAATTATTTTATTGATATTTATATAAACCAATAACCATTACTGCATTAAAAAAGTAACTCTAACTGCATCAAAAAATTTACTCTAACGTATCTTGCTTTAGCTATCCCCAACTGGTTCGTCTTCATGTATAACTGTTATTTAGTCATATTTTTTATCAAATATTTTTGATAATATTTTTTTTTGATAAATTTATTTTGTAGAACCTCTCCTTTTAAAAAAAAACAATAAAACTATATTGTAGATATGAAGGTAATTCTTATTGTCTTGCTTTCTCTTTCTGTAATCAAGAAGCTAAACTTACTTTTGTTTCTAATGTTTTATTTCTAGAACTTCTTTCATATATAAACAACAATAATAATATTAGTTATTTAAGTTTTTTATCTCTTCATTGGAATCTAATCATTACAGTACTTGCACCACTTTTATCTTATCCAAAATAGTACATTCTTGAAGACATTTGGTCTACATGTTTTTTAACAGAAGCTAAAAATCATTTAAATAAAAATGATTATGAGATTGCAAAAAACCAGGTATGTTATTTTATTTTGCAATAAAAGAAAGAATAAACCCTGAACTGGTTGAGGCCAGTTTATATTGTAGAAGTATATTTCAGAAGAATTACTAGTTAATATATTTTAGAAGAATTGACAGCCTTGGTAATCATTTCAAGCTTTTAATTTGGACGTTGTCTAACTGGCTAAGATTGGTACTTCAGAGGAATTACCAAGTTGACAACCTTGGTAGCCACTCCAAGCTCTTAATTTGGGTGTTCTTAAACTTGTTGTTAATAAAGGTTTACTAATTATAAAAGAATAATTGGTGATGCAACCCTTTATATATATAAATTAATGCACTGCTAACTTATCTTTTATTTATTTTATAAAAGTTAAATCTAGAACATAATCGATATAAAAAAAAAATTAAAACATATTAGAAAGGTATTATTTTTGAGGTGACTGAATTTAACAAAGAAAATATTAACATTAGTAAGTTATGATAAATAGGTTATATCAAAAAAAAACTGAAATAGTGCTTTTTAAAATCTTTATTTCTAGTTTTTTTTATATATACTGTATTTAATGATAACTTTTTATATTGTTTTTTCGTGTTTATTTAATTAATTGGTTTATTAATTACTATGAGCAACGAACAAAAAGAAAATTAAAAAAAGGCTAAAATTGGTTAGAATCATATTAAATTAATATTATAACTTAAAATTTCTATAGTATAATGCTAATTTATTATACGTATTATAAAATATATAGTTGTAAATACAATAAACCAGGTCATTACACTTCTAATTGTATGAAATACAAAACTAAAAAAGTATTTGGAGATTGATGTGATCAATATGTTAATAGTTTAACAAATTGGTATACTATTATTTTTAGATTCAAAATTGGTTTTTTTTTTTTTTTTTTTTAATATTAAGGTGCCACTTTGGAGTTTGGCATGGTTTATTAACTTCTTAGTTTAATTATCAGGATGCTGAATAGGCACCCTTTGACTTTGTTACATCAACGAGAGTATAATTGGTCACACATACAACTTTAGTCATTGTCTATTTAAGGGCTCTGCTATACTATCTATAGTTACTCACCAATTGCCATATCTAGGATCTGCTTATGGATCCTATATTTAAACCCTCTGATTGACTTAGCACCGGCAGATGCTTTCCCCAGAAGAATTCCTGCTGCTAAGGCCCCTTAAGACTACTTTATTCTCATAGTAAACCTATCAGAGCGGTTCATGTCCCACACATGTATCACCTTGGTTTTTTAGTAACTTATGCCCAATCCGAGAACTGGTACTTGCGGCTTTTGTGGCTGCTACTATTATCTACTTTTTGCCTTTACAAGGTTCGTTCTGATCCTGATACCCACTTTCAACCAGTCCTTATACTGATCTCTCCCCAACTACCAAACCAGTTAGCCCAGAAGGATTGTTATACCTAGGCTCTAAGTGCCTTCTGGTTTTACTTCTCTTGGTTTTGAATTTTGTAGCATCAGACCTTTTTCTCTGGTGTGACTCCGGTAGCCAGGTTGGTGGATCCTTCTTGCCCTAGGGTTGTTCGTCCGGTTCTTCGGTCTCCAGTTTTGATTTCCTGTAGTATCATTGAAGATCTTCACTACTCCTAGCTTGGGTCTTGCCAAACGGGTTTCAAATATTCCAGTTCTTTAGATTTGGATCACCCTAGAGCTTCTATAATGAGATGGTAGTACCAAGGTTACAGGTGATATACCCAACTGATCATCAAATAAATGTTACTGTAATACAGGTCTATTTTTCGAAAAACATCTTCAGTAGAAATCAAACTCTAGACCTGCTGCTTGGGGTGACAACTTAATCACTACTCTACGTCGCCACACCCCTTTAGATTCAAAATTGTAAACATTGTTAAATATATAAATTTTACTAATTTTTTTAACACTTATAGTTCTGGCCATCGAATTTTTGAATGTACTGGATACAATTGTCAAAATCTTAACTATCAAGTTTCTGAATATGCAGAATCATCAAATGCTTATCAATTAAGTAAATATAATATTCAATATTATGTTAATATTAATTTCTATAACAATGAATTTAAAATAGAATAATTATTTTATATACCTAACTATTCAAAATTCTCTTATCAAAATCCACAAAGAAGCACACTATATAATCTATTCAATGATAGACAAGACAAACTTCCAAAAATTTCTTAAACACAACAAACTTACTATAAGTGCTGTAGAGTTTACTGGATCGTTATCTAATAATGATATAGAACCATATATATGGGATAAACTTAATAAAAACCATTCAAGCCAACGAAAAATAATTATTCAATATCTTGAAACCCATTTAAAGCCAAGCCTTCCCACTAGTATTGTTATTCATGATGTTTTCCAATCCAGGAACTTTCTTAATATAATGACAGAAGAGTCTCCATTTCTATTTAAAACTCAAGGCAGTACTGATTTGATATTAGCAGAAAAGAGTTACATTGATGGATTAATCCCTACAAGTGGCATTCATTGTATAATGGAGTTCAAAAAATCAGTACAAGAGCAACATATTATGCAGGTTGTTCCAGAGATAGCTGCTGCAGATTTTTTAACCAATGATGAAATTAAAACCATTGGGGTATTGACGGATTTAAATAGTTCGTGGCATTTATTTTGGCTAAGTGAGGAAAAAAAATTTAAAACAGTTAAATTTTCAAATCACAAAAAGGCTATTGAAACTATTGATAAAATGGTTTCATTGAAATGTATGCTAGGTTTATCAGGTATACAAAAACGTGTAAACATTAGTGATATTATTTCAGTTTAATGTAATATTGACAATTAGTTTATTGGATCAATATTTAAATAATATTACTACGTAGCTTATTGTTTTAAATTTAACAAAATAAAATAGCTATGCAATGTAGTTATGCTAAAACTGGGAATAGGTTATATTTAAGGTTGTTACATTTATATATTTTTTCTATTTAAACGATTTAACCATGATATTAATAAGATGAATAAACAATCCTATTGCGATATTTATTAAATGTTTAAACGACTTAATTATGATATTAACAAGTTAAATAAATGATCCTGTTGCGATATTATTAAATATTTAAATGAATTAATTATAATACATATAAATTAGATGAATAAACGATTATATTATATTTATTAAATATTTAAATGATTTAATAACAAAATTAATAAAATAAATAATCAATACAATTATGATATTATTAAATGTCGGGGATGATGCTGAAATCGGATGATGCTGAAATTTTGACTTATTTTATTATGAAAATGTAAAA